ATGTATATATATATATATATATACATTTTTTAAATGTTTATTTTTGAAAGACAGAGAGAGAGCATAGAGCATGAGTGGGAGAGGGACAGAGAGACAGAGGGAGACACAGAATCTGAAGCGGGCTCCAGGCTCTGAGTTGTTAGCACAGAGTCTGACTTGGGGCTTGAACTCAAGTGCTGTGAGATCATAATGTGAGCCGACACTTAACTGACTGAGCCACCCAGGCACTCCTGAATCCATATATTTCTGTCAAGTAGTTCCAGTTCTGTGCTATATAGAAGCAATGATGGGAGGGGGGAATGCATCTTCCTCTCAGTTAACATTTCTCCATTTTAGTATGACTTTCTAAGTTTCTGATTACAAATTTCTTCTCAGGTTAAGGAAATTGCCTGTTGTGTGAGTCAAGAAACAAATGGTACACTTTGTTTATTTACCAGGGTGTGGTTAGAGTTTAAGGCCACTTGCAAGAGATAATGCTATACTATCCCTGGGCCTAAAAGGGCAAAGAAAGGGAGTGGTTACTAGAACCCAGGGAAGTTAACTTTACCAGAAGTCTTGTACTGAGAAGGAGGGAATTAGAGAAGTAAATAACCTGACCTCAACGCTTTTCCTGCCCTCCACTGTCTTGCTCCATTAAGCGACAAGGGACCCCCATTGATACAGTTGAGTCAAAATAACTTCTTGGAAAAAGAGGAAGATACATAGCATCTTTTCTATCTTTATTTCAAGAAACAATTTAAAATATGAATGGGTATTGAATATTTTTCACCTACATTTTCTGTATTTATTGAAATGATTTTATGAGTTTCCTCCTTTAATCTGTTCAATCTGAACTATTATTTTCGTCACATATTTTCTTTGTCTGGTTTTGATATCAGGTTTTTTTTTAGCTTCATGATATGAGTTGAGGAGCATTTATTTTTCTGTTTTGTGGAAGAATTTGTATCAGATAAGGATTTTGTTCCTTAAAGTCTGATAGAACTTAACTAAATTCATCAGAGTAGCCAAATGTCTGTCTCTGTCTTTTCTTTTTCCCTTTCCTTTTTTCCTATCCTTTTTACATTTCATTCTCTTTCCTGGGAAAAGATAGATTTGTAACCACTGATTCAGTTTCTTAAATATCTTGAATTTTTGTCAGTGTGATAGTAAAATATAGTTGGATTATATTTTTATAATCTACTTATGACTCCTTTTTTATTCCTGATGTTGTTTATTTATTGCTTCTATCTTTTTCTATATCAGCATTGCCCCCAGCATTTTTGGAGTACAATGGTAGGGGAAGGGAGAAGATGCCAAAGTTTTTACTGTTCAGTAGTTAGACTTTCATTTACTCTCCCTGTTTTAGGATAGTAACTCTGACCTCCTCTGTGTCCACCTTTATGCCTAGACCCTAAATTCAGAGATCCTTTGGTTGAAGTCTTTGGAGTGGACCTTTATGAAGCCCAAACATCACTGCTTAGCTTACTGCTTTTGATTTCCTCTTTACTTATATAGACCCCTATGAATTTCCTTTCTTTCCTTGGGAGCTCAGCTATGCATTTAAGAAAATATTTGTTATATTTTATCCTACATCTCTCTAGTAGAAAAGTTTTTTAGGTTATCTAGTCCGGTGTGTTGAAATAAATACCAGGCCTAGTACTTTAAAAAAATATTTAAAGTAAAAAGGGAAAGTTTATCTCTACTCTTCCAGTTCTTTTATCTTTTTCATGAATAAAAATATCATCAACTTCTTTAACTACTAAGTACATAGATATATACCTAGTTCCTCCATCTTGTTGTTATGTCATCATGAACACTCTGCCCTCTGTTCCTTAGGCCAGGAACAGAGAGATGATAAGGTACACCCTTCTCTTAATTACCTTGGCCTAGAAGTGACTAATACCACTTCTGCTCACATTTCAGTAGATCACATGGATATCTGGTGAGTTTATGCCACACTTGATTGAGTTCATTCTGTAGAATTGGCTTGTAGGTGTAACTACTTGACATGAATATGGCTTGACAAATAGAATTGTAATACTAAGATTTCATAAACATTTTACACCCATAAACTTTAATGGTTTTGGATAATTAGGTAGACCATATTGTGAGAGTTTGTTGGATAAAATGTCTTATAAGTTGTGTTTTAAACAAAAATATTTTCTTTCCCTCATCTTTTAGGAAACAAACAAAGAATCTAGTTCCACGATACAGGAACATTTTAGTATTTTCTAGAATTATTATTGGTTATAAATCAAAGAATTAAATGCACAATAATTGGACTTAATTAAGTTAAACGATAATTTTTTTAAAGGTAAAATCATAACTTCCTTGTAGACATGAAATAAATAGTTGTTAAAGATTTTGTTGAACTCATTATTTAATGAGGGAACGAAGCAGATATTGAAACTGGTTCAGAAGAGAAGCCAAAGAAGAACAAATTTATAAGGAATAAGGGAAGTGAAAATAAGTATATATGTGTGGATACTGAATTCCCCCCTCCCATGGTGGGTAGAGGGTGAAGGGAAGTCAGTTGAACCTCCTCTGGCCAGAATTTATTTATGTTTCTGTGGACAGGAATTATTTTGTATTTGCGTAAAGCTTTATCTACATTTTACTTAGTTGTAAAATAGTTCAAGGACAGTGAAAAGCTAGAATTAGATGAAGAAGAATGTGCTGTAAACAATATGCAGTTTTTCATTGGAGATACACAGTAATCTTTTTTTGCTTCCAAATGTATTTCCAGCTGAAACTCATACCAGATAAATTATGATTCAACAGTATTGTTTTTTTTGAGAAATATGTAGGGCAATTATAAAGCATTATAAAAAACCAACATGCAAATGTTTTATTTATCTATATTTCAGGTTTATGCTGCTGATTGTACTGATGGTGTTCTTTTAGAGCTACGAAAATATTTGCCAAAATATTATGGCATCTGGTCACCTCCAACTGCACCAAATGGTAACCTTTTCTTAAGAATACATCCTTTAGTATTAATTCATGAGAGTAGCTTTTTAAAAGTCTGTATATAAAATCAAGCCTAGTGTTATACAAACAATATTTGTGTGTTTTTCTTTCTAGTATTTTTTCTACTTCATTAAGGAAAACTTAATACTTTTGCTTTTCATAACCAGTTTCTTAAATGGTATGTAACATTAATGACCAATTTGTTGTAATTGAATAAAAAAATCTACATACTTAGTACTATATTAATTTATAGATGTTCCTTTTTCCTAATTTATTGGACAGTTTCCCATTTTGAGTAGGAAAAAAAATATTTTCTTTGTATGACTTTTTCTCTGTATCTCCTATCCCCATCTCTAGGTTCTAAATTGCAGTCTTTTAAAAACTACTGCTAAGTTTCATGGTTAGAGGACAAAATGATCTATGTAAAGTCACAGCATTTCTTTCTTAGTGAATGCTTGAAGCAGTGTTTGCCTTTTCAAGGCCTTTGACAGAACAAATTTTATTTAAACAAGTAACATGACTGCCTAAAAATTGAAGAAGGTTCATGAATGGGGGAAGAGTTTTAAACTTGACTGGGTTTCCTTCTACTAACTTACTAGGTATGCCATGTTTCATTTTTAGGGGAATCATGGTATCTCCCTGTGAGTTAGGTAATAGTAGGTAATAGTTAGGTATTAGTTCCTCAGTTAGGTAATAGTAAATCTATGATTCCCTGGGAATTCTGTATTTCAGTTATATGAAAAAAGAGTAAGCCTAGCTTTTCTTTTTCCTTTCTCCCTTCTTTCTTTTTTCTTTTGTTCCTTACTCCTTCCCTTCCTTTCTTTTTTTCTTTCTTTCTTGTCTTTAGTCCAATATACATGTATTTCATATATATATAATACATATGTTATACATACATATATCCCTGATTCAGATCAGCACCTTAAATTGTGTCACAAATCTTTATGACCACCTTTACTTCATAGAGATTTCCATTGTAATGTAAGATATCTGGATTCCATTAAACTTTGCTACTAATTGCTATTTAATTTTGAGCAAATCATGACTCTTCAGTAAAGTGACATTGAAAGATTAACAAAGGTTGCTGAGGATGGGACTAGATTCAACATCTAGAAAGTAAATACTCAGTTTAAAAAGATTATTAAGAAGGAGTAGAATACTGAGCAAATGGCATTATTTTGAAAAGTAGGTATACAGAAAGAATTTGAGTGAGAGAAATATTTTAATTAAAAATGACATTTTATTGTTTGTGATTACTAGCATATGATTTAAAAATCAAGGACTTGCTCACAATCAACAGCCTTTTCATCTTCAGTACTAAATGGCCATCTATGCATCTATAGAAAGAGCAGTAACTTTGAAGTCAAACACTTGGTTTCTACCTTGATTATGTCCAAATTTTGAGAACTAAGAAACTGCTAAATATGTGAATTAAAGAACAACTAAATAGAAATTTGGCTAACTCGTTAACCTTTCTGATCTCTACTTTTTCTACTATAAATTGAAAATAATACCACAGAGAGTTGAGAAGATGCATGTTATGTTATGTGAGAATGCTTTGAAAACTCTGTATTCTTATTTGAATATAAATGGAAATTTGGTGCTACTGAGATGAGAAGATGAAGTAGGGAAAATGAAAGAAGAGAGGAGAAAATGCAAATAAAAGGAGTAAAAGAACAGGAATAAAAAGTATATATGTACAGAGTGGCTCAGTACTAGCAACAACTGCCTCAGGGAATTTCCTATTCCTTTTCAATTTTTTACCTCTGGAAGAAGTTAGATGAGAACTGCTGCACCATGCAGGTGCTTAGCTTTGATTTTAATAGAGAGTTTATGGAATCATTTTTCCATTTTTATCCTTTTGATTATAAATGAAATCAATATAAAATGGGAAACTTTTGTACATGTTTAGCCAACAGGGTCATGAAAACAAATTCTCTTAAATTTTAGTAGAATACTGGGGCGCCTGGGTAGCTTAGTTGGTTAAGTGTCCGACTCTTGATTTTGGCTTAGGTCATGGTCTTACAGTTCATGGGATCGAGCCCTATGTTGGGCTCTGCATTGCTGGTGTGAAGCCTGCTTGGGATTCTCTCTCTCCCTCTCTCTGTCCCTCCCCAACTCATTGTGGGTGCTCGCTCTCAAACATTAAAAAATATTTTAAAAATTTTAGTAGAATACTGTGGTTAACATTACTTTATTTTACATATGAAATAACTGGCCTTTTATTCCCCCTTTGGGCATCTTTTTTTTAGGTGCTCAGAGTAGAGATTTATAAAACTTGATATACAGTTCTTACAATCAAAGTAGTAAAATGTAGAAAGTACTGCCAGTTTGCTCAGCAAATTATTGTAACTTTGAGAGAAGCCTAAGAATGTGCTGATTGATAAGGTTTTTTTCTTTTGATTTTTTATGATAGCTTTATCAAGGCATAATTTATGTACCATAAAACTCACCCATTTAAGCTATACAATTCAGTAGTTTTTAGTATATTCATGGAGTTGTACAGTCATCACCATTAGTTAATTTTAGAGCATGACTAATGGGATTTTTTTGAAAGGTAAAACATTTTTTGCTGATACTATCTTTAAAGATTTTGAGCTAGTTATATATATTAAATTACATTTGTATCTGTGTATAAACATATGCCTAGTACATGTACTGTCAAAAGCCTTTTATTGGTAGTTCTTTAGGGAAATAGAGAAGTGTATCTTCAAGTAGGTTTGATCAAATTGAGAGTTTTCAATTGTAATCTCAATCAGCCTTACTGATTATTAGGTTTCTGGATCTAGCTACTAGTCAAATTTTAGGAAGTGTGGACTGAAATAAGTTGGCATACATGTTTTTTCTCTCCTTTACACTTAAATCAAATTTGGAGGCTCAAAATCTCTGCTTATAATTCTACTTTCAGCTTATTTTGCTCTTGGAAATGACTGATGATTGAAGTGGAAGGCAGAAGTAAGGCCTTCTCTGATTTTCCATATGGCTTCATAGTTGGCCAGGGGTTCCTTATGTGGCCTTTTTCCCTTTTTGAGAGGTTCAGAAATGAAGATGGTAATCAATACCTAGTAGATTTTCTAGATATGGCAGGGAAGAATTTGATTAAACTTGGAATCTGTATTCTTTTTTTTTTTTTTTTTTAATTTTTTTTTTCAACGTTTATTCATTTATGGGACAGAGAGAGACAGAGCATGAACGGGGGAGGGGCAGAGAGGGAGACACAGAATCGGAAACAGGCTCCAGGCTCTGAGCCATCAGCCCAGAGCCCGACGCAGGGCTCAAACTCACGGACCGCGAGATCGTGACCTGGCTGAAGTCGGACGCCCAACCGACTGCGCCACCCAGGCGCCCCGAATCTGTATTCTTATAATTTATACAATCAATAATATTCAGTAAGGGGATCTAAATAAGTTTTTCTTCAGCTCCCTAAATGCGTTCTGCCTTGTCTTTCCTTTAAAGGAACTAATTATCTCATCTTTACTATTTAGTTAATACAGGTCTTTCAATTTTTCCACAATATTTCATATGTCTGTTTTCTTCTCTTTTGACACTGGGAATTTTCTGCCTCTTTCTTAGAGGGTTGGAAATATATTCCAGCAGTAGAAAACTTGCTATAGGAATTTTTTATGCTTAAAGTATTAAAAGCAATGTAAGTATTATATTTGAAATATAAACCTTGTTGCTAAAATTTTTACACAGCTACGGAAAGAGGGATGGATCTGTGTACTTTCTCTCAAGGTAGCTGGAGATGGGAGGAGAGAATCAGAAGGGGCCTGTTCTGTGCTTTTTTTCCCCCATCTTCTCACCCCATCCTCTGGTTTTTTGTTTTTTTTTTTTTAATGTTTATTTATTTTTGACAGAGAGAAAGAGCTTGAGCAGGGGAGGGGCAGAGAGAGAGGGAGACACAGAATTCGAAGCAGGCTTCAGGCTCTGAGCTGTCAGCACAGAGCCCGATGCGGGGCTCGAACACACAGACCGTGAGATCATGACCTGAGCTGAAGTTGGACGCTCAACCAACCTAGCCACCAAGGCGCGCCCTGGTTGTGGTTATTTTTTAAAGCACAGAAGCTTGGGTGGGTTCCAGTCTTGAACAGGATAGTCTCACTGTGCCATTACCTGTCACTATCAACAATCCATGTCTGTGTCCAGACCTTTTGTTTTCTCTTATTGAACAAGTCTGTTTGTGAGAGGCTTTCTTTAAAATGTGTCATACTCCTTGTGTGCCAGTGCTGGTCTCTTACGCTATAGCTTTTTATCATATTTGGGCTTGACTTAACCTACTTCTACACAGTCCTAACCTTTCCCCAGTCTTCCTTTGACTAAGGGATAAAATTTATGTCTTTATTTTTTATCCTTTCAGTGAAAAGATTTATGGCCCTTAAATCTGAGGGGCTTAGCACTTTCTCAAGCCCTGTCAGGGTTGTTCTCCTTTTTGGTTCAATGCAGACTTCTTTGTTGTAATTTAATAACTATGCTAGTCTTGGTGGGTCAAGGTAAAAGAAAAAAGGGTGAAGTCTTTTTTGTCTGGTGGCCTTTTATTTAATTAATCGAAAATACATACCTTTTCTAACTTTGTCACTTTGGTGAAAAGCAGAGGTGTGCCTGGGTGGCATTGTCAGTTAAGCATCTGGCTCAGGTCATGATCTCAGGGTTTGTGGGATCGGACCAGCATCAGACGCTGCACTGACAGCATGGAGTCTGCTTGGGATTCTCTCTTTCCCTGCCCTGCTTTGTGCTCTCGCTCACTTGCTCTCTCAAAAAATAAATATACATTTTTTAAAAAGCAGATAAATTCTGTTTTTGAGAAAAAGTTTTTAGGAGAAATGCTTCTCATGTTCATAAGTGAAAATTATGATCTCATTCAGAACTTTGGGAAGATTCTTTCAAATAAAAAGGGGAAGAATTTCTTTCCTCCATTCCTTTAGTGTAGCTAGATCCCTACTTTCAGGCTAAAGCTATAATTAGTTCAGCTATAGTATGTAATAACTGGGACTTCTATAATCTTTTACTTGAATCTCCATTTATAATGGTTTTCTATGGGAAGATGTATGCAGGATGCCAAAGTGGTTTACAGATGAACTTTTGATGAATGCCTATATTCTAAAAAGCAAGATATTTATTTTCCTTTTTAGAGTATTAAGACTAAAATGTGTATTTGGCAGTGACCATATTTTAAATTGACTTACTTTTCTTAAGCTATAGTTCTGTTGTATACTCTGTGCGAAGGATTTATTCCTATTACTAATTAAACATTTTTTTTAATGTTTATTTTTGAGAGACAGAGCATGAGTTGGGGGAGGGACAGAGAGAGAGGGAGACACAGAATCTGAAGCAGGCTCCAGGCTCAGAGCTATCAGCAAAGAGCCTGACATGGGGCTAGAACTCATGAACTGTAAGATCATGACCTGAGCTGAAGTCAGACGCTCAACTGACTGAGCCACCCAGGTGCCCCTCCTATTACTAATTTTCAATGAAGAATTTTAAAAATTATTAAAATACTGAGAGATCTAGTGAGGCATAGATGACATAAACTGTATTCTCAAAGGGGAATACATTTCTGGAATAGCTTTTAAAATAAGTTATTTTTAATGTCCTTATATCTATTTCATGCCTTTGCTTATGAATATTGTTTAATAACCTCCTGAAGAGTTTCTGAGTGATATTTACACTTGTTATAAATTTGTTGGTCAGTTTTTTTTTTTTTCCCAGATGGAGTAATAATAATTGTTGACTCTGGATTTGTTTTAACTTTTTTCTCAGTTTTAAGATTTCCTCATTTTGTTTTCCCCTGGTAGTTATTTGAGTAGTAATATGTTTGCCTATTACTAATTAAGGTTTTTCTTTAATAACAGATTTATACCTAAAACTGGAAGATGTGACCCATAAATTTAATAAGCCCTGTATAATGGATGTAAAGATAGGGCAAAAGAGTTATGATCCTTTTGCCTCATCTGAGAAGATTAAGCAACAGGTCAGCAAGTACCCATTAATGGAAGAGATTGGGTTCTTGGTGCTTGGCATGAGGGTAAGAGTGATTATTTGTAACATTTCTTTTTACATGTTCTTCCCTTGAAAATTATAGATGTTATTATAATAGCTATATATTAGAAGATAATATATTTTGGATTTGGGTTGTCCATATTTCCCCCAATGAGGGTAGAGATTTTTATCTCTTGCTCACTAATATATGGTCAGTGTCTGGAATGATTCCGACACACAGTATGTAATTAATAAATGAATAAATGGCTGAACTGCAAGACTCTCGCTCAGGTAATTTTGTTTTTAGGAAGCTTAAGTTTAGGTGCAAAGTAAATAGCATGATAAGTAAACGTGATATTATTATGATTTTGCTGTGAGAAAAGTGCTAAGTTTATATGTTCAGTTATTTTTCTATATTTTTTTAAATAGAAAAGGAAAATTAAAAATTAGGTTATTGCTTCAGCTGTGATTTAAAACGGTTAAATTTGCTCATGATTCTGTGGGTTGGCAGTTTGAATTGGGCTCAGGTGGTCAATTTGCTGATCTCACACAGGGACACATATGGCTATGCTCATCTGATGGGTCAGCTAGAGCTAGACAGTCTAAAACAACCTCACTCTCATGTCTGGGAAATGGTACTGTTGGCTGGATCCTTCTCCCTGTAATCTCTCATGTTCCAGAAGGCTAACTGGAGCTTCTTCATGTATCACAGTCCAAGAATGCAAGAGTGAGAGCTAAAAGGGCTCTTGAAAGCTACATTAGAAAGTCATTTACTGTCATGTCTATGGAATTTTATAGGTCAAAGTATATCACAGGGCCAGCCTGTATTGATAGGGAAAAGAAACAGACTCCACTTCTGATTGTAGGAATAGAGAAGTCGCAATACAAATGGTAGTGCACACAAGAATGGGAAGGATTGTTGAGGCTATCTTTGTAAATAATATGCCACAGTTAAAAAGTGATGTGGAATAAAATCCTCTAAGCAAATGGTATGCCTTCTAAATGTGTGGAGGTAAAATTTGTATATATGATAAATGATTGCTTACCTTTATAAGCATAATGGGTAGTTTTGAAATTCATCATGTAAGATGATATATAGGTCTTCCTTTTGACTTTTAAACAGGTAAGTTAATATCATGTAAGATGATATGTAGGTTTTCCTTTTGACTTTTAAACAGGAAAGTTAATAGGAAGCATTATAGATGAATTGTTAATGTGATGGTAATAACAACACAGTTGAATTTGGTATTCTGATTGTAAATAAAACCAAAGAAATTAGAATAGAAAACTATAATTAAATATGGGTATATGGTAAAGAAAAAAAGGGTAATGGAATAATATTAAAACAAACAAGGAATAAACATCCCGTGGGAATCTAACTGGGCAACTTTTTAACCTTCACTGTTGTCAAATCCCTTTCTCTCCTACTTTCCATTCTCACTTTTAGCAGATGACTTTGCCTTCAAAAAAAATAAATAAAAGCCATCAGACAGGATTTCCTTTAATTTTCTGCTGACAGATATAAATACCTAACCTGCAAGTACTTTCATTCCATCTTTATTCCTGTCACGTTGAAGAATTTTCCATCCTTCTGTCTAAGCATAACTCTTCCTATGTTCTCTGGATCTCAGTCCTCTCCACCTCTTTAGGAACCAAATACTGTTGATTTTCACTTGTTTTTCTTATATGTTCAACTTCTATTTGTCTTTCTCTCTCTATTGACTCTTTAACTTTTGTTTTAAATATGATCAAATTACTCAAATTTTTCAGGAACAAAACCTCAAAACCCATAATTACTGTGCTCTGCTCTCCAGCAGAGAGACTTACTCCCCTTTACAACTGAACTAGTTATTTCCATTTAGTATTCTTAAACTCATTCCAATCTGGCTTCTGTTCCATCCTGCCTCCAGATTTGCACGTCCCTAAGATCCCTGAAGACATCTCCATTGTTACTAGATCCAAATGGCATTTTTTTTCTTAAATATGAAATTTATTGTCAAATTGGTTTCCATACAACACCCAGTGCTCATCCCAACAGGTGCCCTCCTCAATACCCATCACCTACCCACCCTTCCCTCCCACCCCCATCAACCCTCAGTTTGTTCTCAGTTTGTAAGAGTCTCTTATGTTTTGGCTCCCTCCCTCTACTCACTTTACTTCGCTTTGAAAAGCAGCTTTCAGTGCTAAGTCCTTCTTGAAATTGTCCTCTTAGTGTTCATGACACTACATAGTCTCCTGGCTTTTTCCTAAGACCACTTTGTAGTCTTCTTGTCCAGCTCATTTCTTTTTATTTATTCTTTAAATATTGAGGTATTTTGTTCAGTTCCATTTTACTGCCTCCTTTTTTCTTTCTGTTTCTTCCTAAGCAGTGTCTTTGTTCTTACCGATTAATTTTTCACTTACACTGATAACACCCAAATATATATCTTCTGCCTCTGGTTTTTCTTTGCTCTCCTAATCTGTATAGCTAGATACTGGGATAATGTAAAGACATCTAGAATGAATACATAAAAAACGGACACACATCCCTCTTACAAACTACAACCACATAAATAGTAACATCTCTGTTATTCCCTATCCCAATAAAGGCATCACCATACGAAGTTTTACAAAGGAGAAAGCTTGTAGTACTGTCACATCTTAGAACCATCCATCATTCCTATTGATCTTAGTTCCCTAACACCTCTTGAGTCCAGTTATCTCTTCTCAGACTCTAGTCTCTTAACTGATATCTCAAGTTCAATTTTGCTCTCTTCCAGTCTGTTCATCAAACATTGCAAAAGGTCTAATTATCATATTTCCCTATTTAAAAACTCTTTAGTGGGTTTCCATTACCTTTAGGGTATGTATACAGGATAAATAAGGCATTGCATGATTTGGCATTCTTGGGATATGTGGCTTCCCCAGACAAATGGAGGTTCTTCTTTTTGTATCTCTCTCTCTCTCTTTTTTTTTTTAATTTAATTTAATTTTTTTTTTTAAAGTTACATCCAAATTAGTTAGCATATAGTGCAACAGTGATTTCAGGAGTAGATTCCTTAATGCCTCTTACCCATTTAGCCCATCCCCCCTCCCACATCCCCTCCAGTAACCCTCAGTTTGTTCTCCA